CACACACACACACACACACACACTTTCTGTCTTTAATGTTTCCTTTATTTTGGCTACTACCTATCAATGGATTTGATTCAGTTAACCTCAGTAAAGAGGCTCCTATTTATTTTAATCAACTGCAGGTTTCTGCTAAATGCCTACACACGAGTGCTTGTATGGTGTTGTTAGGCTGAATTCTGAGAATTGTCTTTGTTATATTCAAAGAATCAGTCCAGCCAGAAAACCTGGTCTGAGGAGAACATAATGGATAATGAGGAGGACGAGTGGCAGCTGATGTTGAATTGCTGTAGCACTTATTAGACAAAATACACAAGAGCTGTAGAGAAAGAACGACAAAAACACTATCAATTTACTCTCTGACAACAATTGTCACCATGGCTCCATGACCCTGGGGCTGGTTATTCTCTGCCACCCTCCTCCAGTCTCTGTACAAGTCTTCTGTCTTCTACCACCCAGCATCATTCGTCATTCATCCACCTCTTCTTTCTTTCAGTAGGCGAGCCATTTTGTACTAGATCTCATGGCTAACTAGTTAAAGTGCCCTCAGACTATGGTGTGAAGCTCAGTTGTTAGGTGCTAGTTGCTTTGAAAATGAAATCTAAAACATCTTATTATTTTCTAAGATCTTTTGCAGATACTCAAGCTAATGTAATCAAGTGTAAACCTGCTTCCCAAAGAGAAAAGGGGGTATCTGGGAATAAAATATTTGAGCATACACAGAAACAGGTCCTCTCTGTATGTCTCAGAATGAAACATTTATTATTATATGGCATGTAAGAACGAAATGGTAATTATGAAAATGATACTGTACATTTTGTGTTCTGTAATTGTTCTTATGCAGTTCTATTTTGTTCAATTGTTTCCTTTTCTTTTTAACCTATATTCATTACCTGACAAGGAAGTTGTGGTTTCATCTGCGTTTGTTTTATTTGTTTGTTACCAGGATAACACAAAAACTACCAATCTGATATCCATTAAAGTTTGTGGAGGGGTGGGCAATGACACTTGGAGGAACCCAATCAAATGTTGGAGCGGTACCAGATTCTTTTATTTTTCAACATGGCAAGATAGGGCATTAGCCTTGTGGGGGTATATGTGGTTTCTTAGTGCCCTTCTAGTTCTGTACCTGGGCTGCTGTGACATCCAAACTTCCCCCATGGGAATCAATAAAGGGTTTTCTATCAATCTATCAACAGATCAGTCAATGAAGATGGACCCGCAGCCCACCTCAGGTCAATTGAGATTTCAGTTCTGCTTACTCTCAAACATTTTTCAAATGTTCTCCCACTCACTCTTCAGAGTAGATGAGCTAATGAAGGATCAGATAAAGGCTACTACATCTATATTGTGTTACTGAATAAAGAGCTGATTGTGTGGGTGCTGCTTTCTTCTTGTGGTTTTAGTGAAACTGGAAATGATATGAGTCTTGGCAAGATAGACCATTTAAATTGTGTATCCTGCTGGTAATGGTGCAGTAAAGTACAGTAAATAACCAGCCGGGTTAACCTGCTCTTCACTAGACGAAATATGTCAATTCTGCCATTTCAATACCGATAATCAATGTTCAGCAGACTAGCAGCACCAGCTCCAGGGCTTCCTGTTAGTTGGGATGACAGTATATGTTGCGATGTCATGAGAGGGGGTGTCATAGAGGGGAGATACATTCCCTCCCGGTGGCTGCAGCAAGGACTACAACCCATCATGGCCTCCATTAAAGAACTACAAACCCCATAGTCAGCAGGAGTGTCGCCCAGCTGAAGGATATCTAGCTGATTGCCCCAGGGAGGTTGGCTGAGAGTGAACAGAGCAGATAAAGAAGAGACTCTGTCTGAGGTGGAGGTGGAGGGGAAGGGAGTTCTTTTGTTGGTTGACAAGGAAGACTGTGAACGAGAGTTTGAGTGTTTGTGTGTGTGTGTTTTTTTTTGTTGTTTATCTGCTGACTGTTGAAGTTAAACCTGTTAAAAGAAGACTGAATGCAGTGGATTTGAGTTGGAAAGCAAAGCTGTCTGTCTTCATTTCCTGCGCCCACACCTCAAAGGCTACAAGAGGGAAAGATCCCGACCTCTCAAGACATCACAATGTACACACATGCATGCATTTGAAGCAAGCAGTGAATAAACAGAGGGAGACAATGTGAATGTGTCAGAGACAGTGAGGCAGGGACAAGGCAAGACAGATGAAGAAAAATGACAAAGGAGGGATAATATGATTGAGAGAGAGAGAAGAGGTGTAGTAAGGAGACGGAGCGAGGTAGGAGAGAGTGACGAAAGCGAAAAGATGGAAAATGAGAAAGTAAGGGGGATAAGGGGAGATAGTGAGAGAGAGTGAGGAAGAGCAGGTGGCCGGCGGTGTACCAAACCCGCCATGAAATATTCAATCTTTAATCAGACTCCCAGCATTCCCTAACGAGGCGTGAGAAAGATGAATTAGCCCTTCGAGTTTAGGGAGCTGATCCACACAAAGCTATCACCTGCAACACAACACAAAAAACAGACACACATCGCAGCACCAGACCCGTGCATTTTCACACAGGCAGAGATTAGAAACAACTAAATCTTTTGTTAGCTGCCAACATGAGTAAGTTATTTTCACTGAGAGCAGGAGAGCATTCATATTGTGTCTGAGATTAATGGCCAACAAATGTATTCCAACACATACACACACACATGAGCTTGCAGACAGAGATTCAGTCCTATTCTATTTCCACTCAACTTGTGCTACAAGTTTGCCATGTCTGCAATATTAAATATTTGGAAATGTCAAGCATTGTTCTCATTCCAAATGCCATATGAAAAAAAATCAATGATGCCTCATCATCAAAGCAAATCCTGAACATTGTTCTGATGTACAACAAGTAGGTCCGAGGGAATAATAAGGTAAATGCAAGACAACTATAACAAGTGAGCGCCACATGCAGGCTGTTATGTTTCAAGCTAAGTTGTCTTTGTTCTGTCTACCAGATGTTTGTTTATTTGACACTCACATGTTTGATGGATTGGAACCAATAGCACATCTATAAAAAAAGAATGAATAAAAAAATATTTAGCACATCTCTGTTAGAAATATTTATGAGCTCAGACTAGACCACAGCATTTTTATCATTTGAAAACTATTGCAGCAATACAAATGTCCTGTTTAGAAATATCTAACGATGAGTTATATCTTATTTTAAAGGCTCTGGAAAGCTATAAGTAGCTTCTTATTATGAGTTATTGTTACTTTTTGCTTTGCTTTAATGTAACCAGTCAGTAGCAACTGTAAACTTTCATGACATGTCCTTCGTGTAGACGTAGACGTAGCCAGTGAGGTCCTACATGAACATGTGAACATGAACTTTAAATCATACTGATGGATTCATTTATGATTGTAGTTGCTTATACATTTGGTCAGCAGCACTTGGAATACAATTCTTTACATGTCCAATTTTGACATTTGGAAACCATGGCACCCATGTTTTGCTTCCTGATTTATCGTCTCTGCCATGACTCATTTACCAGAAGGATATGCAACATGGATAAGGAATTCCAAGTATTGATAACCTTTATTTTCAGTGACAGTTCCACCTCGTCATCCGTCTAAGCAAAGAAATCCCTCCTCTCACTTTTCACTATTGCTGTTCCTCGTTCAATAATGTGTTTCCTGTTTACATCAGCATGGGAATGACTAGTGTGCGTGAAGTGTCATGTGATAGTAGTATGAACAGAGATTCTGATACTGGGCTAAAATGCAAAATTGTGTTAGCGGGGCCAGAATTATAGTACTTATTATTTTCACTGTGTCTCTATTCCTTTAAGGTAAACAAAGCACGTTTACACTGTGTTTCTGGACATACTAGAACATGTGTATTGATAACAGGATTTGAAACTTTCATACATTGCTGCCAGAGTAACTTCCATTGAGTTGTATAGAGATAGTTCAGAGTGGAGAGTTCAGGGGATCTGAAAAGAACAAATTGTGTTGGTACACCTTTAAGGCAGAAGCCAAGAAAACAAAACAGAATTATGATGGATTCCTGCAGATGAAATACTAGAAAGCAATTTGAAAATAAAATTACAAAAGCTAATGGTTCTATACACTGCTATCAGAGCCGCAGAGCGATTTTATTCAATTTTACAGAATTGAGAGCTATGAGGGACACACACACACACACACACACACACAAACACACACGGCAGATGATGTATTAGTTTGTGAGGTTAGTCTGACACGGCCACAATCAAACATGCCTCCACTTTCCCTATTTCTTATCGTCTTGTACTTATAGCCATAATTTGAAGGAATCAGTAAAGTCAATTAAATCCATCAACAAACACAAATAAGCTAATAACAGTCATATTTAAATGTCTCAGCTAGGAAGGGACAAGGGATCCTGGTGCAAAGGGAAATAAATGACTGGGTACACTGCACTGTATATTAATGCAATTAATCTCTGCCCACAAACAATATGCAGCTCAGTTTCTACTGATGAGTTAAATTGAGAGTATGATAAAGTTACATTTAAAGCTGCCATCATAAATATTTCTGTATTAACAATAGATTAAATGAATACGAGTAGTCGATATGAGGGGGTCATTTGTGGTGACATATTCAGACAATTATCATCCAACTCTGCTGTTCCCTTCAGTTCTTGTATTTACATTTCTCAACTTATTAATGTGGTTCGAGGATCCACAACTTTACTGTTTTGATTTGGCCTCACAGATCAGGTTAGTGATAAGGTAGTGAACATCGTAGGGAATTTAGAAGAATAAACACAATTCCCTCAGGAAAAAAACATTAGATTTGGAGCTAAATAAAATGTCCACCATAATAAGTTTGGTATAATATGTCATTGTTGGGTTAATAGCTTTTTGTGGTGCCCCCAACAATCAGTTCCTGATTGATGGGGCTGATAAGTGGTCATCCAATTAGATGTTTGTCATTATTATCACTTTCAGTTCTTCTCAAAGACCTGTTCTGGAACATAGCAGAGATGTTTTCCTTTGACCACCAACATCTAATCAGATCATCTCTGATTTAAAGGGGTTGTGTGGGGAACATTGTCAGAAATTTCACATTTATGAGATTGAGCTGTACGGATGGACAACCTGAGAAACATAATGCTACTGGTCAAAGCTGTTGGCAGCAGAGTGATATACAATGACTCTGATTATTGAAAATATGTTGTTACATTGATGAATGTGTGAGGGTATGGGATTTAAGTTTATGTAAAGAAATAAAAACAAACAATACACTCTATAAAATATCGATATACACAACAGGTTCATGGCCCTGACCCCAAACCTGGTTTACATTAAAATATAAAAGCAATGCATTAATTTGATTAATAATATCTAAACCAATTGAAAACATCAGAGTCAGCCCTAAATTGTGAAGCCACTAGTTTTGTTTTCCCATATCCATCGTGCTGGAGCACAGACCCAGATCACAAAAAAACAGTGTCATAGTCTACTATGCGACTGTGGAGTCACTGTATGACTAGCATCATGTCTCAAGTGACAAAATGCAGAGACACTGCAGCTCTGCTGCCAAACTGTGAGTCATCTTAGATGCAGCTAAGTCTGTCACTTGTCTGTGTGTACACAGGAAGAATAACACTGAATACAGACTGTTAAATCTGTTTGAATGTGGTTGTTAATTGCAAAATGTGTGAACAGCATAACACCTCTGCAAAGTAAGTGAATATGTGTCTCTGCTGAAGTAGAATAACCCATCAGTTGATGCACAATGAATATCAAGATAATAGTACGTGACTTTGCAAATGTGTGACTTAAAATTCCTGTTGTATGTGGTTGTATGCCTCCGCCAACCACCCAAGTTGCAGTTTATGTCCATCTCTGTCCAGAGTCATGTGATACATGTTACAGTTGAGTTATGGCCAAAAATTGTGACGTCACAGTGATCTTTAACTTTGCCCTTTAACCACCAAATACTAATCAGTTCCCCCTTGTGTTCATGTGAACATTTGTGCCAATTTTGAAGAAATTCCCTGAAGGGGTTTCTGAGACATCATGTTCACAAGAGTAGAACATACAGCTGTGGCAGGAGGCATTATGTTTTCAGTTCCATAAATATGGACAATCTGAAAACACAATGCCTCTGGTCACAGTTGTCGCCGGCGTGGAAGCATAATAACATTAACATTAAAATGGGAAGACACATGGTAGAAAAAGGCAGTGACACTGACCGGAGACAGCCCGTGGCATTGCGGAGGACCTGGGAGGAGTGTAGGTGCAGTTTGCGGTCCTCCTGTGTATGCGGGGAGGTGTCCCAGCCCGAGTGAGGGATGATCACAGCGTTGGTCAGCACGGCTAGGGCATCCTGGATGATGGGCATCTTCAGGGCATCGCATGATGATAGGTTCCACAGAACACCTGCAGAGGACAGCAGGGAGACAGGCGGTGAAAACCAATGCAAAGGAAAAGGACCAATAGAGGTGCAAGGCAGACTGGAGGCAGGGGGAGAGACAGGCTCAAAGACAACTCCAGGCCAAAAACCACTGAAATATTTAGTAGGTTTTCGTGAGCAGCAAGATAGATTGTTGTTTTCTGCAATATCGTGATGCTTCACAGCTTTCTGCAAAGCCAGACACATGTTCTCAAACTGAGACAAAAGGCCTTTATTCTGTGGAGGACATTTTGACATGTCACGGTAGGAAAAGCACAGGGGTAAATAATGTAATTAATGATGGCTGAGTTCAATTTAGCTGCTTCAGTTTCAGGCTGCTGATAATGTGCATGCTGATTCACTGGCTCAGTGGAAAACTTGAAGAGAACACAGCAATCAATAATGTGATTAGTAACACCAAGACTGGATTACCAACCAAGCAAATCACACAAGGCCCTGGAGCCACAGGGACCCCAAAGACCCCTGGTTCATTTTGTTGACACTGAGGTAGTGGTGAGACAAAAATACAGCTGAGCTTAAGGAAAGGAAAAATATAATAATAACATCGACAGGAAACATTTATGGACTGATGTGCATGCTATTGAATATAGGAGCTTTTGTCAATAGATGCTTTGTAATTATCCAACACTGTACAATTGATCTTAAACTAAATTCTACAACTTGTACATTCAGAGGATGCAACAGCTGGATGACAACAAGCACATTAGCCTCTGCAGCGTCCCTGATGAACCCACCAGTATACAAAGTGAAATCCTGATACTGGATACTAACATAAATATATCCCCTTTATAGACTATTATTTATATTTTAAGAAACATGTCCTTTTACAGCATTTACCATTTTGCAGGACCCATCACACAGTGAGTTTCTATTTTAAGCTCAGTTTTGATGAAAAGTTGTCCCATGAAGGTTTTTCAAGCAACTAAAAGGTTCCTGCAGACTGTAGTTTACCTGTGTTTTCACCACGACCCAAAGACCACAAAGATGAGGCAAAAGAACGGCCGATTGCCACAGTAAGATGTTACATGCCAGACCACTAGGAGGCAGTAATGGAGAAGATGATACAATAATGATGACACTATATAAATCAAGCAATACTACAACAACAGTAAACATGGAGAAGATTCAAATTGTGCTGCTGTTGACGGTGATTTACTGTTTTGAAAGCGGGATTATTGAAACAACGAAAAGAGACAAGCATCAGAAATAATTCACCAAATTCACCAAAGACTTAACATAGAATTAAGAGCTATTTATAAATGCAATGCTGGATTACTCAACCCATCAGGCAAGTTCAAAGCTGCAGGCCCCACCCCAAAGTTTTTTTGTACTTCCCCAAGCAGGGACTTTTTGGATTTTAAAAAAGGGACTTAATTTAGACCCTGCTCCCTGTGGTGAATACACAGAGACTTCCAGCAAAGGCCTCTAATTCCTGTGGAAAGTTTCTGAATTGGAAACAAAGCTTTATTTGTATAAGTTGGAAAGCAGCAGCAAGCAATTCACGCTAACTTGCCTCCACTCTGTGTTATAACTAGTTCAATTATCTTGCTATGACATTAGTACAGAGTCAAACAGACATTGAATAAGTCTCATGTTAATTTTTAAAACCTCCAGAGTCAAGAAGTTCCAGCACACTGAGCACTGTGTTCATCCCAAATTATAATACAGAGGGCTGAACTGGCATCTGCTGTTGCTCTTTCATGGGACCAGATATGGTGGTGGAATAACTCTCAGCAATTCAGATCTGGGCAAAGTCATGATGATAAAATAATCAGACGAAAGGGCAGACACTACACACAGAGTACACGAATATACACACAACTGCTAATTAGAACATTGCATCTTACACAGGAGTGACGCAAATGTCAAATGTTATCAAATTTCCCAACATAACCTTTTATTTATCACTCCACGTCGAAGCTGTGCTGCTGCAGCTAATAAATAACAAGGTACAACAAATTAGGAGACGCACCCAAAACACAAAATTCCACCACAACTCTTTCCTGATCTTATAACCCTCACCTGAATCCAGCCAAACCAGAAAATGGAGTGACTCGTCTCTTGCCTAATGTTGTTCACTGGTTTTGCTATTCATCAAACAAACACACACACTGGCCGTCTCAGAGCGTCTTTCAAGAGAAGGACGGAGGAGGTAAGAGGCAAATCGCTGCAGTTTGCTGGAAATCACTGATTTCTTGAGTGGTTTCACACACACACACACACACACACACACACACACACACACACACACACACACACTGTGCTAATAACCTTGAGGATCGTCAAAACATCTCATAATTCTTGTTGACCTTCATCTTGAAGAGTGTCTATGTCCTGATCTATGTTCTCATATAATTATGTGTTGGGTGTCCACCCCAAGTCATATCTGCACTTATCTACCCCCGCCTTTGTTGTAATTCCAGCTGTAGTAGTGGTATAACATCCCATCCCATCCTCATATGTGTGTGTGTTTGGAATAAGGCGTCCTCTCTTTAGTGCAGTGTTGTTCACCCTTGGCTGAACAGCGACTGTGTAATTACAGCTTCTGTTATCTGTCTTTGCGGGTTTGTATGAATTTGTTCTTGTGTGTGTACATGTGTTTGTGCACGCGTCTGCGCGCGTGTATGCATTCAAGCCCCATCGACAAATCAGCCCTAACTCCTGTCAGCCCTTTGGACTGTGTTTATGTGGACTGTAAAGGCAGCAGTGTCTGTTTGCGGTCAGGAGGAGTTTCTAAATGACTAGCTTCTGGCTTCATAATTAGCCGGAACCGTCATGTCAGCGAAAGTGTCTTTTCTCCGTCTCATCTTTTCTCCTGCTCATGAGTTCAGAGAGGGCGTGCTGGGTTTTCGATAACCTTAACATTCAGTGTGTCACGTAATAATTCTAACTGACCTTGATTTTTGTGAGTCAGCTAATGCTGCTGAGCCCCCCCCCAGTAATAGAAGTGATTTGCTGCAAAAATATAAAGTGTCATTTCTTTTCAAAGGAACGCATTTTACCATAAAAGCTTGTTTTCTTCACTATAGGATATAAGGTTAATTTTATCTATGTATAGCTGCAATTAGACACACAGTTTCTCCGGAGTACGAGTATTTGTGAATGCAAATGTCTGAGTCAGAGCCTCCTGAGTCTGCCTGCTGCACCGCCCCTAACCTGAATCCTTTGGAGAATTTGTTGCTGTTGTGAACGCTGCTGAACAGAAGATCTCCAGCTGTGTTGTGCATGTGTGAAAGATAAACTGCGGAGAAAGTCTAAACCCAATTCCTCCACAGGACATGTCTGAAAGCGTAGACATTTAGTATAAATTTTGTTTAGGTCCATAAGGGAAAACATAAACTCTAAAGAGAGCCATTTGAGTTTTGTGTATTCATGAGTGAGTGAAGCTTAAAACTTCATGAGGACTGTTGTCTGTAAATAGGTCTAATAAATAACCACAACTCCTCGGAAATGACTTGTTTTCTATTTCTAGAAATACTACATACACAAGATACAGCATTTTAATGATTTAATTTTGGAGGAGATCGCTGTCATGGAGCTTGTCTCGCTGTTCCCCCCTGTGCCCGGGCTTTAAGCTAAAGGCATGCTGTAGGTAAAATATGTAACAGATATAATGCCATTGAATAAATGCATAAGGGGCTGTGCAACAGGGGAGACAAAACAGGAGATTGCCTGGGGCCCCGAGCTGAGAGGGGGCCCTCGGGAACTGATTACACGAGTCCACAGCAATGATGATTTTTTTGTGAGAAAGCAGACGTACAGACTGCAGTGATACCATAGCTGTAAACCCCCGGAAAGACTTCACAATCTTCTTTTTTGGGGGGGTTGATGACTAGAATGTCTAAATGTGTGTTTATGGTAGTGGTGGGGGTTAGTAATCTAACAAAATTACTTTATTATTTATGGTTATGCACAGTATGGACTTTATTTATAAGGGTGAATCGTAAAAGAATAATTTGAAGAATGGAATGATGTAGTTTGGCATCAAGTGTTCCTTGGGGTGGGGGGAGGGCATTGATTTGGTTCAATGTCGGGCCCCCAGGTACCTTTTGCCTAAGTCTCTATACTCAGAACTACATCGTACCCCAAAAGGTAAGATACAAACAAATGTCCTCAACTGTGTCCTCTGACAACCACTTATTGAATTATGGTAGCTTTGCCAGTCCTACTGTGATATCTGCTGCTGGAGTATTCTGACATTTTTGCTGGAAAACATCATCTCTGGCAGCATTAGGACTCCTTAATGTTATCAGTAACCTCTGTGTCCTTCCTACTATGACAAGTTGAAACGTCTGTTGTGAAAAAAGTCTGTTGGATGAAAAGTATTATCAGTTGCTTGGAGTTTCTGGTAACAGCCCAATGGATTAATGGCATTTTAAAGATTCCCAGATGTTTAGTAGATTTACAGACAAGTAAAAGTATAATTGTCTGTGATTGCACAAATTAAAGACAAGTGTCTGAGATCACAATTTAGCGCTCATTTAAACTACTGATTGTTTTTTTTATAGGGAGCAATGAATGAGTGGAAAAGTGAGTGAATTCAGACACAGCTTATATCTATTAGCTTATAAGCTTTACACATCCATCCATTATCTACACGGCTTATATTTTGAGGGTCACAGAGGGAGCTGGAACCAAGGTCAGGTTGCCAAAGTATAGCAGGGGTGACATGTAGAGAGAATCAACCATTAGCCCTTAGATTCTCACCTACGGGCAATTTAGAACCTCCTGTTTAACCTCACCCCAATCTGTACGTCTTTGGTCTGTGGGAAGAAACCAGAGTACCTGGAGTAAACCCACGAAGACACATGCAAACTCCACACATGTAAAAAGCCAAATCAAAATGTGCTCTTTCACCACTGTCTGTTTTACAAGTTAAATGTTAAATAAACCTCGGTAGTTTCAAACACGGATTAAAACAGCATGCAGTTGAAGTACTGCTGCCAGTCCAGAAGTTGTGAAGTTA